AGCGTTATTTCCTTTCTTGTCTGATTATGTCGCTTTATATCATATTGGTTCTCTGCAGGGAATGGGCTATGCATTACCTTTTGTTCATCCTGAGATAGCGACTTATGTGGAGAAGGCCACTCTCACTAGTCCTTACCCAGCCATGTCGTATGGTGCAGCAGAAGGCGAGTTCTACCAACAGCACTATGCAACTATCCCTTCTCAGGTGGGAGTTTTTTACGTCGCCCAAAAAAGTTCTGATGTGTTTTTGTAGCCTACCCAATGGACACAATCCGCTTTTCAACAGTATATGCTCACGCCACAGTATCACCGCTCCATCGCGGTATGATTGAATTTATTCTGATATCGAACAACAATCTTGAATATTGATTTGTAATTCTCTAAGCAGGGCAACTAAGACGCTTCAGAGCGGAACAGACTTGTTCAAAATCATTTAGCTACTCTTTGGTAAAATTCATGTATATCAGCTTCCGTCACATATCGTAGTCTCTTTGATCAAACATCAGTTTTCAATTGTATTCCATGTAGCTTCTCCCAGTAGGACTTTTAAGATTTACATCATGTGAATTTAACACTTGCGGGTCTTTCCTTCTTATCGTTCTGCGTGGTAATGCATCGTACTGAAATAACGGTTGATGAGCTTATTGAAGTCTATACTGTAACAGTTCAGTTTTTTGAATCTCTAAAAGGATGTGAGGTCACTACTACTGTGAGGAAGTTGGGAAGCTGTGTTCTTTCAACGCAGTCGTTTTTTGTTCAAAATTCTATCGTGATTTCGTATCTAATTGAGTCTACGCTTGAAATTAATTATTTTACTCGCTTAGAATTAGTCTCAGAAAATGTGGGAGAAAAGCACTGTGTGTACAGGTAAGCGAACTGCGTCTTTTCACAAATACATACGAACTAGCATGAACTGGACAAATAGCTGCATAAGCAAACTTCATAAGTGGAAGAGAACGGGATTAGTTCGAATAGCTTGACTTAATTTTGATTATTGGAATAGTGCCAGTTTTTAAAAGGGTTAATCAGTTTCTCGGAAAAATTCGAATTCAGTTGTAGGTAGTTTTATAAGTAGAATGCTGTAGATCGTGCTTATTATTCATCTAGCAGTATGTCTGGTAATTACCGCGCTCCAACTGAAAAAGAACCCTTTTGACACCTCATACACGTTTATACAGAGCTAAAGGCGGCCGCGATTTTGGATATCCAAAGTAATCAATATTTCCAAT